TTGTATTTTATAAATAAAAATTTTAACAAAATTAGGTAATGTGTTTTATTGATGATTCAGATTAGTGTTGTAGATAGGAACAAAGGAGTATAATACAATAGCATAAGCCGACCCACACGCTGACGAATAATAGATAATGACGGTAGTCAATCAACAATAGATAAGTAGATACAGATTCGTGATCAGAGCATGCCAAAACCTTTTTTTTTTTTTTTTTTTTTAGGATTGTGAGTCGACGAACGTCGTGCGCCAGAACTGGTACAACCTTTCTACAAGTGCGCCAGAACTGGTACAACCTAACTACTCCCGCGCCTACGTCACAGTGACCGAGTGAAGCCGGCCACAGTCGAGCGTGTGCCTGCTGTACTACCATATGTCAGAGGTGTCACAGACAAGATTGGCTATATCTTGAAGCGTTGAAGCGAGCTTCTATTTGAACATTCTACAAGCCGCCGAAGAAGATTAGTCAGTTCTTACCATCCGTCAAGTGGCATATTCCTCTACAAGATGCAGGAGTGTACAAGCTTGATTGTGAATGTGGTCTCTCTTATATAGGACAAACCAAAAGATCAATTAGGACCCGCGTAAAAGATCATATAGCTGATGTGAAGCATCAACGTTCCGGGAAGTCTGCAGTTTGTGATCATATCCTAGACGGCCCCAACCATTACATCAGATTTGATAGACCACAAATCCTCGCGAAAGAACACCGATTCCTACCAAGGATGATACGTGAGGCTATTGAAATTAAAAAACATCCTAATTTCAATAGAGAAGGAGGCTGGGTACTACCACCTGCTTCGGATCCTATAATCAATAAAATTAAAACTAAACCCAAGCATACCACTGCGAGACCTCAGGACATAGTCGTCATTTTGCATAGATCAGACCATAAACAATAATTAAAAAAGCTGAAGGTACTCCGGGTTTAACAATGACATCGGGACGTCAGTCATCTCAGTCCCCCGTGACTATGGGTGCTGGAAAGCGCCCGAAACGTCGGGAATTAAAAATAAAAAGTAAAAATAAACGCGATAAAATCCGTAAAAGTAGTTTTAATCATGTGCAATGTTCGCGTAAATATAAGAAATCATTATATTTACTTTTTTTTTAATTATCATTATTTTCACCTTAAAAAGAAATTACCTAAACTATCGTCGTTTTAAAGTTTGTTAGCTGCCGTCCGACAGCTGACACCGTCGTTACAACTTTAAGCGGGCTACATACGACATGATATCGGTGGCGATCTAGGGTGGAGTAGTGGGGATGCCTCCTAGATTGCCTCTAAATCGTATCGTAAGTAGGGCCATCCTAAGTCGTGGCCGATATCGCCTCCTTAATTGGCCGGCAGGAGCAAAAATGCAGTCGATGCCTCCTAGATCGGGGCCCCGCCCCCTCCTTACTGCGTGTGTGTAGGCGCATCGGCCCGATTTCTTTTGGCAGTCGCTGCCGGCAGCCCTCGCGGAAGGACGTTAACAAAACAGTGATACTGAATGACCTTTTTACATAACAAAATTTTTACATTTTAATCATGTGAACGGAGTAGAAGCCTATGGCACTGATATTTTACAAAATACAACAAAAAAAATCTATTTTTTTTGTTTTTCTTTGTTTGGTTTCGTTTTGGTAGATGGAGTGACCTGAAGGTGTAATTCAGTGATTATAACTGGGACTCCTAGACTAGTAGAACTAGATGTGCCGAGTTTGGGTTCGTTTTGTTAGTTATAATAAGATCTTACCACCGGACCTGATGGAGTAACCTGAAGGTGTAATTCAGTGATTATAACTGGAACTCCTAGACTATTAGAACTAGGTGTCCTGAGTTTGGGTTCGTTTTGTTAGTTATGATGAGACCTTACCTCCAGACTTGGTGGAGTGACCTGAAGGTTTAATTGGGTGATTCCTACTGGAACTCCTAGACTATTAGAACTAGGTGTCCTGAGTTTGGGTTCATTTTGATAGTTATGATGAGACCTTACCTCCGGACTTAATGGAGTGACCTGAATGTGTAATTCGGTGATTACAACAGCTGGAACTCCTAGACTACTAGTACTACGTGTGCCGAGTTTGGGTTCGTTTTGTTAGTTATGTTGAGACCTTACCACCGGACTTGCTGAAGTAACCTGAAGGTGTAATTCGGTGATTGTAACTGAAACTCCTAGACTAGTAGAACTAGGTGTGCCGTTCCAGTAGTAATCACCCAATTAAACCTTCAGGTCACTCTATCAAGTCGGGAGGTAAGGTCTCATCATAACTAACATAACGGAGCCCAAATTCGGCACACCTAGTTTTACTCGTCCAGGAATTCCAGCAATAGTTAGGTACCGAAATACACCTTCAGGTCATTCCATTAAGTCCAGAGGTAAGGTCTCATCATAACTAACGAAATGAGCCCAAACTCGGCACACCTAGTTTTACTCTGCGAGAAGTTCAAATAGCGGTCACGAAAGTACACCTTCAGGTTACACCATCAAGTTCAGAGGTAAGGTCTCATCATAACTAACAAAACGAGCCCAAAGTCGGCACACCTAGTTCCGCTCGTCCAGGAGTTGCAGTAGTAGTTACCTTTTTTTTTTTTGCATGGGGAAATGCCTACGCATACCCGCCTCGCGGGGGCAAGGACGGGTTATCTCGGACTCTTACCGGCTAAAACCCCATGGTGTTCCATCTTTGTCGCATATTGGCAGGGCTACGGGAACGCTTTCGCTCACATCCGCGGCCCTACTAGCGCCTGCCGCCCCATGGCGGCACCTCCTCGGGAGAGGAAAATTCCTCCCCGTTCTCCTTCCCAGGTAAGTCGCACCAGAACACATGGCGCGCCTTCCTCCACGGCCTCCAACTACGTCTGTGCAACAGACGCCCTCGCGTCCGATGCACAAAGGCCATGGGGCCAGGAAAAACGAGCACTTAGATGTACTAGCCTTCCCGACCCCAGCGGCGGATCTGGTCTATGGCTCCGCCGCCAACCAAGATTCGGCTGCGGAGGGTAGGGAGAGCGGCGCCTCGCAATACCGACAATCCTCTCCCCCCGCAGCCCCACCACCACCGCATCAACGGTGCGGTCCACCAGCACACATCCGAAGTGGGCTCCCCAAGCCCACTCGGAGCGGCCACCTCAGGCCGGCCCTTCACCTCGGGCCAGCCACGTGGGTTCCTCTTTGTTCACCGTGGGAGACCAATCCACGGCTACTAAGCCCCCCCGCCACGACAAGGCGGGAACCCATTCGGGGGGGAGTAGTAGTTACCTTAAGGTCACTCTATCAAGTAAGGAGGTAAGTTTATATGTATATAAATCCTACTTATTTTTACCGAAATAAAAAACTGTGAGTATAAAAATAATAATTTTATCATTTGTCAAGTACTTATGTTTCCAATTTATTTTTTTTTTCTAATATTTTGTGTACGTACAGCGATCTTTTCAGAATGAGCCGTTACAAACAGGCGATACAGTGTCCACTAACGACGGCGGCCGAGCGCGGACTCTTCCTATATATAAAAAAGTATTCTGTGGCGGACTCACAGCTCACAGAGTACCTTTGCGCGGACTGTGGTTTCATTGAAATCTTTGTACAATAAATCAAAACAGGCACCAAAAATAAAATAGCCCTCATTGCAATAGTTTAGATTCATCCGTATTAGCAAAATATGTGAAAAAATGTGCATCAGTTTTCATTTTTTCTACGACTATTTGTAATATTTTGATAAAAAATAAATTTGTAATTGAATATGTTTGTCTACTTATAGTATTTTTTAAATTTTAGTTATAAGAATATGCCGTTAGTTATGTACAATGAAATTAAATTTGCGACATATAATTTTATGTTCATATAATGACAAGTTAATATTAAATTGTGATTGAAAACTTTATTACCTACTTAGTGCTCGTCCGATAATAATTATTTTATTCTAAAAAAATCGCTTTGGTCTCGTGTTCCCGCGTGAACTCCAGCCACGCATAGTGTGCGAAAGAGTTCGCATAGTGTGTGAACGAGTTTGCATAGTGTGCGAAAGAGTTCGCATAGTGTGCGAACGAGTGGCGCGGAGGTTATATAGGCCCTTTAAAAGTCAAAGAAATGAGATTGTTCAATAAAAATGGGTAAAAGTTATTTAGAGACGATATTAACTTTTTAGGGGTTCGCGCCACAAAATGTAGTAAAAAAGTCGTTTTTTATAAAACCTGCCTGAGGCAAAATTATTGCTATCTGGATAAAATCTGATTATTTTATTTGATGTTGATGTCTTCTTGCCTCAGATATTGAATTCTAGGCGATTCTTATCAATATTCGTATTGCTGTCATAAGACTTTCGGGAAATATGTATTAAGTCGAAAGGTAGCAAAACAAAAATTATTACTATTGCATCCACATTTTTGCTAGATCAAGCAACACTTTGATACTTTACTTTTTTTATAGAAAAAGGGTGGCAAACGAGCATAAAGTAAAACTGATGATAACTGGATGCTGTAGCACATAGAGATCTACATTTATTCTCAATTAAGAAAATGCAGATGACGAGACCTTGAGGACTGAGATGGAATGTCTTGTTTCTAGTAAAAAAGGTATCCGATTCTCCATACTCACCATATGAAACAAAGCAGCATTAAGCTGCTATTATAAACAGCTGCTATACGCTGGTATCCTGTGAAAGCGTGGTCCTACCCCGGTCGAGCTGACCCATTGGTTCTACGACCATAACATACCTGTAGCGTGGCTCTACCACTTAAATCAAATTTTCACAAATTTCTATTTAATCCTTCAAGAAGTAATTAAAATCACGTCATAAATATCAATTTTAGCGGCTTGTATGATGGTGAGACTTAGTCGCAGTTGCGTTAGAAATAAGCGCAGATAGATTTTACAACAAAAAGTACAAATTCATAGTCATTGAAGCGTGGCAACTGTGCCAAAATCAAATATCATTCTTGGCATACTAAATTTTATTTACACCAATTTACAAATATTATTTTAGTCTATTTTTAAAACTAAAAACTAATACAATCACTAATCTACATTTAATGTTTTAAATGTGCCTTCTATTCCCATATATTCTTCGTTAAATTTATCAGCCTGTCTGTACTTTTCATTTGTGGATGCCGCTTTCATTTTGACGTAATACTCTTGAAACTCCTTTGAACTAAAAACATCTATCCATTCATCTGTAAGCAAGAATACGTTTACTATTGCACGTATAAAACACATAAATAAGAAATTCTTATACAATATTATAACAAATAAAATTAGAAAATTAAAACAAAATTCGATGAAGTGAGGTTAGGATTCCAAGCTTTTCTTTTACAAAATATAAGCGGGCAAACGAGTATGCGGCTCACCTGATGGCGTCGACCGCAGCCCATGAACAACTGAAACACCGCGTTAATTGAAAATACGTTGACGGCCTCATAAAAAAAGCGCGTTTCTTGAAGGTCCAATAGAAGCAGGTGTCTTGGTTGCCAAAAACTTGGCTTAGTTAAAATGTAAATAATAAGATAGTGTAATATTTTTTACCAGTTTTAAATTATATTTGGATAGGTAATAATATCTATCTTTTGTCCAGAACTTGTTAATTAAATTAATTACGCCAAATAAATCAAATTCGTCATTATTATGACTATTATCATACGTCAAATTTAAATAATTATTACATATTAGCTGGTACCCGGCGCCTTACAGCTGCAGAAGAAATAACTGCGGAAATATTCTTTTAAATTTGTAAGAGTTATATTGTTTAATTCGGAATGATAAAATAACTTTAATAAGTTGAATGATATGTACATTAAAAAATATTTGCCAGTATGGTACACACGCCATCTACTGAAATTTTTTAATTTTTTTTATAGAAGAGGGGGCAAACGAGCATGCGGCTCACCTGATGTTAAGTGACTACCGCCGCCCATGATCAACCGCAACACCAGGGGAATTGCAGGTGCGTTGCCGGCCCTTTAGAAAGGAGTAAGCTCTTTTCTTGAAGGTCCCCAGGTCATATCGGTCCGGAAAAATCGCCGGTGGTAAACTATTCCACAGAGAGGTTGTACGCCGAAGAAAACTCCTTTTGAAACGTACTGTGGTGGGCCGCCAAGCATCCAGATAGTGTGGATGGTATCGGGATGTTTGCCGCGTAGTGTGTTCACGAAATTTGGCGGCTGGGATTAATCCGAACAATTCCTCAGAGCACTCTCCATGGTATATCCGAAATAAAATGCAGAGATGCAATATCTCTTCGCAGTGCCAGTGAATCGAACCGATCGGAAAGCACTCGGTCGTCGACGATTCGAGCCGCTCTGCGCTGGATGCGGTCAAGTGGAAGGAGCTGGTACTGGGGAGCCCCAGCCCAGAGATGGGAACAGTATTCCATGTGCGGCCGAACCTGCGCCTTGTAAAGTTGCGGGCGGTGTGCCGGCATGAAATACTGTCCCGCTCTGCTGAGCACGCCAAGCTTTTTTAGAGGCCAATTTGGCCTTCTCTTCCAAGTGACCACGAAACTGCACGTCACTCGATATGTCAACGCCGAGGATTCTGATACTGGCTGAGGCAACAAGGGGAGTGCCTTGAAACTGAGGAGATACGACAAAGGGGTTCTTTTTAGCGGTTAACGCGCAAACTTGTGTCTTCTGGGGGTTAAACTGGACTAGATTTAGTCGCCCCCAATCCGAGACTGTTCAGCAAAGACTCGACTTAACACAAGTTTCTACCGGCACTCGGAGACGTTTTCCCGAGAAATATTGGCTCGGCCAGTGTAAAGAGCATCACCAGTGCTGTCATCTGCATAGCAATGAATGTTACGGGTTTGCAACATATCATTGATATGCAGAAGAAACAGCGTTGGCGATAGCACGCAGCCTTGTGGAACACCAGCATTCAAAGGCGCCGTCCATTTAAACGTGACGTAACAAACGTTACTTTATATGTTGATGCCGAATTGCCGAAGCTTCTGATGCTGGCTGGGGCAATAAGGAGAGTGCCCTAAAATTAAGGAGATACGGCAAATGGTTTCTTTTTCGCAATAAACGTGCACATCTGTGTTATACACATCATCCGTGGTAGTATGCACAGACGGTGTGTACGAAAGCTTAAGAAACATAGTAGACAGATTTGTGGAACAACAGCATTGTACCTTGGAATCCTCGTACACGCCGTCACTATAACTTAATGATTGGAGTTTGGCGGTCAAAGGAAAAGGGGAGATCTCCCGCCGGGTAAGGTGTTCTGCCCGGGGAGCCAACAACGCTCCGAGTGGTAGTTCGGAGCTATTTTATATTTACTGTTTTTACTTCGAAACTTTGATAGCGTGATTTAGGCTTCGATGTGTTTAGCTTGTGGCGCGACGACAGCACCGCCACATCACTCCCCTGCTCAGACCGGAGATCGATAGTGCAGTCCGATCGCCGGTGTGTTCTTAATGCTGGTGGAGAATGCATGTTGTGTGCGTAAGGGCAAGTGATGCCAGTGCGAACGATATGCCAGTGTGTAGTAAAAGCTCGGTCTGCGTAGATCGGACCAAAAAATTAATATTCAAAAACTGAAGGTAGCCGGGCTAACTATGACATTGAGACGTCAAACATCTCAGTTACCCCGTTACCATGGGTGCTGTAAAGCACCCGAAATGTCGGGAATTAAAAATAAGTTAAAACAGATAATTAAACGCGATAAAATCCGTAAATATAGTTTTATTCAATGTCTAGTGTTCGCGTAAATTTAAGAAATCATTATAATCTCTATATATAGGTAAAAGTCAATTGGTGTCCGTTAGTCTCTATAAAACTCGAAACTGGCTCCACCGATTCTGATGAATTTTTTTGTGTGTGTTTGCCGTAAGCCGAGGCCGGGGCCGGGGCCCCGTAAGCCGGTATTTATTTTGAAACAATATGTTGCTACGATGCATAGTTCTAAACTATGTGCCGTAAATACAAGATTATTTTTCAAAGAGTAGCCAAATTTTAATCTTAAGTTCAAATATAATAATGAATAATGATATAATGTTATTGCAGTTTTAGAAAATACAAGTAAATAAGGCTTCTACTTTTATTTGATATTATCCCAAATTGAATGTGATTTATGAGCAAAAATGCTTTTGCCTACCGATCAACCCTTACGAATGTGTGCGTGCGCAGTAAAATCAGTTAAAATAATGCATTACATTTAAAAGATAAAAAGAACAAAACGTTTGAGATTTTTTAAACTAACTTTTCATCACAATTTGCGATATTAATTATTCTGAACCTTCTCTGCAAAGGGGAATGCCCACTCTTCATAGACACTTCGGCCATGGGTGCCCACATATAAAAGCATATTGGGGAAAGGAATTACTTTAAAAAAGTCGGGATTTTGAGCCGGTTATGGCAAACCCTGTGTACGGAAATATTATCGGTGTTTTTGGTTAGCAATATAAATAAGATGACATAATTATAGAATGGGATTAAAATGTAAAACTTACGGTACAATTTAATCATAGATCTCTCATTCCCACCTAGTTCTTTTGGTAACACATCTCTTTGGATAACTTTGTGCAGTGATTCCAAATCCTTGTGTATTTGAATGCGTTGAGCTAATTTTGCACTGAGGACTTGTTTCAAAAGTGTAACTAGGGCTACCACAGTTTTTGAGCTTTTATTCTCATTCCGTAGCCATCCTGAAAAAGAAGCATCTTCTAATTATACTAATATAATATTATAATAAAGCGGTAGAGTTTTGTTTGTTTGTTTAAACACGCTAATCACTGTGTATGTGTGTGTGTGTGTGTGTGTGTGTGTGTGTCTGTGTGTGTGCTTCAGGATACAGTGGTAACCGATTCCTCACTTTTGTCAAAGTCAAGTGTAACTTAATATTTTGTTACTTCTTTTGTATATTTATTAAGGTTAAGTAACGTTGGTTCCAGAACATGTCACAACGACACAAGTACGTGCGCGGGCGACGGGGCGCAGGGAGACACTACGTGGGGATAGCGCGTCGTCCGTTGCTATGGTTTCGCTTCCCCGTACCTCATACCGCACCCCACTGACACCTGTTTTACGCTTCTGCGTATTTTCATCATTCGTGGCGCAAGCTATACCTGATGTATTTACCTCTGTCGCCTCGTAGGTACGACACCTACGGGATCATATTAGGTAGTGGATATTCATACACTGCTACTACACAGTTAAAACAATATACTTACAATCAATAGTGTAACAACTTGACGCAATTTGACGAAGTCCAGTGCTTTTAGTAGTTCTACTAGATTGGTCTCCGAATAGTCTAATACGAATATACCTCTGCAATAACCATGGGCTGTTACATATTCTGCAATAAAGGTAAAAACTTTTATGAAAAGTAGTAACAAATAGTAACTTTAACTTATAACTAACACACACTATAACCTACTTAAGTACGTGATTGTATAACTGGAAAAGATACGGTATTAACATCAATGGCGAGTACATCACTCACATTCGATTTGCCGACGATATAGTCCTTATGGCAGAATTGCTGGAGGACTTAAGCACTACTATGCTCAATGACCTCAATAGTGCCTCCCAACGGATAGGTCGTAGGATGAACATGGACAAAACAAAGATTATGTTTAATGTCCATGTCACACCTATGCCGGTAGTTGTTGGGAGCACTATGCTCGAAGTTGTTGACGAGTACGTTTACCTGGGACAAATATTCCGACTAGGTAAGTCCAACTTCGACCGAGAGGTCAATCGACGGATTCAACTCGGCTGGGCAGCGTTCGGGAAATTACGACATATCTTCTCGTCAGGTATACCTCAATCTCTAAAAACTAGATTGTACAACCAGTGTGTGTTGCCAGTGATGACTTACGGATCTGAGACGTGGTCCTTCACTGCTGGCCGTATGAGGACGCTCAAGGTCGCTCAGCGAGCTATGGAGAGGGCTATGCTCGGAGTTTCTCTGCGTGATAGACTCACAAATGAGGATATCCGCAGTAAAACCAGAGTGACCGACATAGCCCAACGGATTAGTAAGCTGAAGTGGCAATGGGCTGGCCATATAGCTCGAAGAACCGATAACCGATGGGGAAGAAAGGTTCTCGAGTGGCAGCCTCGTACCGGTAGGCGTAGTGCAGGGCAACCCCCCACTAGATGAAGTGACGACCTGATAAGATATGCAGGAAGTCGATGGATGCAGGTGGCTCAGTTTTCCGTGCTTTGTGGCATTACTTGGGGGAGGCCTATGTTCAGCAGTGGACTTGTGAAGGGCTGTAATGATGATGATGATGATGTGTTTGTCTGTGTAGTATAAAATTTTTGTGTGATATCAAATGTAATTTTTTCGATAATGTGTTGTGGTGTGTATGACAAGAAAAAAAGCATTATTTTATATTTACAAGTCAGATAACTGTATTCTATATATTACTAGCTAACCACCCCGGTTTCGCACGGGTGATTTCTGGCGGGTCCAATTTTAAATGTAACCATCCAGGGATCAATTAAACACACAAAAAAATTCATCACTAGTCCAGCCGTTTTTGAGTTATAGGGAGACTGATTTATCAATTGATTTTTATAAGATTTATCAATTGATTTTTATAAAATTAAACTAAGGTTTGAAATGAAGAGACTAAAATACTTACCGCAACTAACCATTGAAAGTAATTCATCATATCGTCATCAAAACGTTTTCCAACATTCTTTAATAAATAAATTCTGTAATAGTCATCAGTCATCTTAGGTAATAAACCATCCCATCTGAAAATGAATTTTAACTATATTAGTAAGCCTTCGCAATCAGACACGCTTCTTCCTCATCAATAAAGAGTTCAACGAAGATATTACCATAATATACGTATTGTGATGGCGCATTATTATCTGTTATTAATAAATAATAATTAAATTTTCTATAAATTCATCTAAAAATATTATAGATATAATATTTTAATTAATAAAAATGCATTTTAAACATAAAGTTAAAATATATCAATTTAGAACCTTATGGGGATATCGTAAGTCAGCTCAAATTCTAATTTCGCCCCCACTTCCCCGCGCGTCGTATGCTATGTACCGACATGTTTGTAATCACTAATACTGTAAGTAGAAAGGTCGTTAGATACTTATTTCATTAGGTTTATCATATTTATGCCTGTTTCTTAACGCCAACCCAGTCGCTTCTTATTTTTATAACGGTTATTTCCCATTTTAATTTTACGTCGTCCTGTTGCGTAATGTGTATTCTGATCGTAAGCGACACAACTTCTCCCTTCAACTTCTTCTTTCAAGCGATACTAACGGGGCGACAGGAATCAAGCTTCAAGACGCCGATAGTTTAGGTAATTTCTTTTTACAGTGAAAATAATGGTATTTAAAAAAAGTAAATAACATAAGCATTAAGCACTGCTTTATAGTTAGTTCAGTTATTATGCAAAGTTTCATGATCTTATTTAAATTATTTTGTGAGTATCATCGGTTTATTGTTCAGTTTTGAGGTTACTTTGTATTTTTTTTTCTATCGAGAAAATTTTACGGAATCGTGTTTTCGTCTAACATAGTCCTTAACATTAATCCTCAACTTTACCATATATTGATTTCAAAATTAATGCTGCAATATTTTCGGCATAACGTTGGATCTTGCTAAGCCATTTGAGGTTATATTTCCCCTTAAGCATTATAGTAAAGTATGCTTAATATTGAATTTCAAAATTCATTACATATATTATAGTGTGTGCCAAATCGATTAAGAAAAACGGACAATAAGCTCAGATATGACAATGAATTCAAAAGGAAGGATAGGCCCATCTAAATATTATACTCACAAGAAAAAGTAGCGCAATATAATAATACAAACGTCATATCAAAACACGACGTAACCAGGGTCGGTATTCGTAGTATAATTATCCTAATTGTACCATGATTTCATAGTTTTAGTACATAGTATCGTAATAATATTAAGCGAAAATACCATAATTATTATGGGGTCCTTTTACATTTTATATTAACCCTACGATATCGAGAATTTCTGTATTGTACATGAGAACCGCGTTTTTTTTAAATAAAATTAGAATCAGCTCCCTTTCTGGTCAATCGATGCTCGATCGATGCATTTATGTTGCACCCTTAATACAATTACAATGAGGTGCACACTCCAGAAGCAATCGGTTTGAAAAAAAATTCAAAATATTTTATGAATCAGATTTTCAGATTCAATTAAGCAGATATTTTTTCTTTTGTACTCTTTTCGTTTTACCCTTATTGAATATAAAATATGTTAGGAACTAATATTCAAAATTTAACTTACACTAAGTTCTTTAGACAAAAATTAAACAGAAATACAAATAAAACAATCAAAAAACGAAACGTATTGATAAACTAGACGCATGACGCCAAAATCCCGGCACATGGGAAAATAAACATAAAAGGTCAAATGTGATATAATTTTTTTTAAATATTATAATTTTATTTTCCATGTACAATAGTTTTGAAGGTCTAAATCCAACCCTAAACTAAACTAACTGTAAAATAAAACTTTAAAAATGCATTTATATAACAATTTAACTGTAACTAAATTAAAATAAGGTTATTTACCTATGATATGATATCCCATGTTTTTTTTAAATCTTTGTATCATAATTTTTGCATTCATTTACCAACGCAACTAGACATATTTATGACAGGCAAATCTGTCCTGCGCGCGCACGGTAAGTCATTGAGATATGAGCCGAGTGTCAAAAGGCGTTACTTACAAAGTCTCAATTTAGATGTGTTAACCATAGAATTATTAGGCTAATTACTCTATGGTGTTAACAATATTTAAATATTAATATTATTCACACTTCTATGTCAGCACATATGTTTTGTGTTTTGTTTCTTAAATATTATTGTCTGTGGTTTCTATAAACATCGTAAAATCTTACGGTACATCGCGAAAATTGTGTTATAATTTATATTTCAATTTATGGTAAGTAACGCAGCAATTTATTTAATAACAGTTTCATATTTAAAAAATATTTGAAGCAGTAGAATCACCATATTGAGCTTTTGCAAATTCATCCTTTTAAAATAAACAAAACGCGCGTTAGCTCAGTTCGTTCTAAAAGAAACGTGACAATGGCAGCCAGAGATGCGGCCACGGAGCAAATATAAAGAGGAGGTGTTATGATTAGATTTCACTATGTAACAACGCGCGACAATTTGCGGGGTGAGGGGGTATTAAGCGCCACCCAATTAACTATTTTCCATCTACCGGTAAATAGTAAAACTACTCGCATCGTTCCACATCGATGTTGCAATGTAGTTTAGCTACCTTACGCTTGGTGTGGGATATAAGGGGACGTACTCAGAAATTTCGTACCAGGGAGTATTTATTTCAAGATTAACTTTGTGAATCGTATTGTAATTACATCTTTTTTCTAAATTGAAATACCGATATTATTATGAAAAAAAAATCCTACTCCTACTATAACAATAATCCTAATAATTTCACTAATATTATAAAAGCGAAAGTTTGTGTGTTCTTTCTTTCTCCTTGACCTTATCCCACGCTAATTATGTACTGTAAATGTGTTATTTTTTCACGCTGACTAACGGCTGGACTATTATGTCGTATGTATGTGTCGGTATACTACTTAATATTTCTATGGAAGAACAAGTAATATATAAACATAAACTCGATTAACGCTATCGTAAAGTTATTTAAATTATTTTGTTGCGCTCGCACTCGACATACAGTACTAAATTCTATTTTAAATTCAATTACCCGCAAAAATAACTGTTTTGGTTAGTTGTTGTCGGTTTGATGCCCTATCGTTTTCTATGGTAGCAAAATGCTTAAAACGAATATCTATATATTTTTCAGCTATAGATTTAATTAAAAGTATAATATGATTATCAGTCGGTGATTGGTCAAACATATGATTGACCGATTGTTTGAAATAATCTTGTCCAATAAGAGACTTTAATGTATTCGATACAATTTTATGTTTACTGAAATTGGGAGTATTCAAAGATTATGATTTAACACAACGAATGCTGCATTCGGTTCGTACGCATATATTTATGACATCTTTAGAAGGAAAAGTAAGGTTTCTATCTTTAGAAGGAAAAGTAAGGTAAGTGTTTTTCTGTGAGGGTAGGTCAATTGAGTAGTACACATTTTAGACATCTTAGATTTAAATATATTTTAAAAATAGTTACAGTTTGAATTTCATGTTTATTATTTATATGTAATAAATTACTACCTACCAGCTCTTATTTCCAAGTATTTTCTCTAACATCACTGCACTTTACAACTACTTTCACCATGGAAGCACTGAAAGGTTCACTTATGGAGATGTCAAAGTCATTCCAAAGTCAAATGGATAACTTTCAGCGGGAACTGCAACAATCTAGTTCTGCTGCCACAACTTCATCTTCTCTACCAGGTGATTTTAATGCTTTTAGAAAATTCATCTTGGCTGCTTTAACATCTTTGCATAACCAAGTAGATCTTTTGGGAAGAGAACTGGATCGTAGTGAAATGCGTTGCCGCAGAAAGATGATCCTACTCCATGGAGTTCCTGAAGAAAAATCTGAGGATACTACCGCCGTCATAAGTACACTTATCAGCACTGAACTCCTAGTTCCAGGTTTCAGTAAAACATCCATAAGCCGTTGTCATCGTCTGGGACGCCCTTCTGATAAATCTTCCAGGCCTGTAGTTGTCAAATTCAGCGATACTGTGATGCGAGACAAGGTTTGGTACTCCAAAACCAAACTTAAGGGCACAGGTATAACCCAGTCTGAGTTTCTAACAAGGAGGCGCCACAGTGTTTTTCTAGAAGCTAGGCGAAGGTATGGCATCACCAAATGTTGGACCAGGGATGGAGTTATCAATATCTTTACTCCAGATGGCACAAGGCACCAACTTGAGACCTTGTCTGAGCTTGACGCATTATGCAATGGGTCAACTTCTGCTTCACCCGTTTATCCTATTGTGGTTGAGGCAAATAAGGCCCCTGAAGATAAAGGTGCACCACAGCGTACTAAGAGGGCCGGTAAAAAATGAACTTTTTCGTAAATAATTTTATTTTATATTTTATTAAATTTTGTAATTCTGTTATAACTTTTCTCTGGACTTCATATTTTAGTTTTCTTTTTTATCATTATATCTTCATTACTTTTCCTTGTTAATTGTAGATTAGATAGTAAAATGTAATGATTAATAATCTCTAACTTTGGAATGTTTATTATTTAGTGTTATAATTTTTTCTTTTATGTTGGTAATTGTTATTGTAATCTTTCTTTGGAATGTTTAGTATTAGTGATAAAAGTATATTGTAAGGTAGATAATTGCTATTTATCGTACTGTAACTTTGACACTTTGACTCATCTGACATTAACACCTCTCACTTTTGTGTCTATGGTATGTTAACGTTCCGTTTCTTCACTTATTGTTAAGTGAATTAAACATTTCTTTCCATAATGCTGGCAGGTAGTTTACTGATGACTTATTTACTTTTGAATTATTTATTTTATAATTATATATATTATAATACATACATATAATAATACATATTTACTTAGTTTTACATATATTTAGTAATCAGATATAATTTAATATGATTTCTTCAGATGATAGTGTTCGGAGTTCCAATTCCTTCGCCTTTGATTCTGCC